CATCCATCCATCCATCCATCCATCCATCCATCATCTACAAATGACATGGAACAGAAGGGGGGGTTTGAGATAAGGAAAAGCACCAGTGAGAGGCGGCAATTTGAAACAGGAAGGGAAGTGGCAAGTGAATACGAACAAAATAAAATGGTACGTGTGTATGATGATGCCATAAGGAAACCCATTATTTTATATACAAACTAAACTTTAAAAAAACAAATAAAAATAAAACAATACTCCTGAGTCAGTTTAGCAAACATCTGTCTCTCTTCTGTCCTCTGGTATCTAAAGTTCCTTTTAGTATTTTTCACCCACTGGCCGTCTCCCTCATCTTATCCACTGGTCACATGTACGTCTCTACTTGTCCTGTCTACATTTAGAATTGAGTTCTGTCACTATCACCTACTGCAATCCTACTGAATCCTACTGAAACAATCTGAATTCTTGTCATCCCTGATGAGTGTCAAGTACAATTTCTCTTTAATACTAAAGAACAAATATTTACCTACTGGACTTCTATCCATTCGCCTCATAAATTCCCATTGCTTCCTTCCTAACGTGCACATGTTCTCTGCAGTGGGAAAGGTCAGGCAGTTTTTCTTGTTTCTGACTAAAGAATCTGGTTTTTCTCACATGGAGGAAGAAAGAAAGAACGAAGGTGACACAGCTTTTCAAAATCACCTCCGTAGTGGCTATTATTTATTCGATCTGTCACACTGATTCTCAGTTGTTCTTGTGGTGACATTTTAATGAATAATACAAACAGAGTGTTCAATTCAAAATGACACTGTGAGCTCCTTAAACAAAAACAAGTTCAGTGTATAAAAACACAGTCCCTTTCTTCCAAATAACCAGCGTAATTCATATGCAGCCCTCTCCTGACTACCACTGACTGGAGATTCAGACTGTACCTGCAACATCAAACTCGATTTCCAGCGTGACTTTGTTTGTAATGGAAGAGTCTCGGAGGAGCTGATTGGCCTCCTCGAAGGTGCTGTCTTCAGTTGGAATTCCATTCACGGCCATCACTCTGTCTCCAATCTGTAGCACCCCACATCTAATTCAGAACCACATGTTAGACGTTATATAGAAAGCAGATAATCAGAGTTGAGCTTGCCAAATCCACCTCATTTGACCCTTGCAAAATAGCATGACCATCTAGTTTTGTTTATTCAATGTTACTGGCAATATCGTTGGTCAACTGAAATGACTTGCATTCTTGCATTCCATGGGCACAACTGTAAGCAAGGGAATTCTAAGTATCCCAAAGAAGTAATTAATAATTCACAACTACGGTAGTGTTATAATCTGATCAGAACTGACATACACTAATGATGAATGTACATTCTCGCAATGCAGAGAAGCTACTGAAATTGAACTTGAGGTATTTTTAAAATAGATTTTCTCCTTTTTAATTAGTAAAGCCTCTAGCATCCTGATGGACAAAATCTGCTAGATAAAGGCACTGATGCTCATAATTCTTCTTGAACCTGACCAAGAACATAAAAATTTACCATCAGAAGGGAGAGTTCATCATCCGTTGTCTCTCCTGCATTGAGCACTGTTCCATAATTTATTAGCTATTCAGGTAGCTGTTGTGAGAAATGCAGAGCAGAAAAGCTTCTGGGAAAGAGAAGTACCTCACCTCTCTGCTGGGCTGTCAGCTTCAATATAGGAAATCAGAGGAGGGGAAGAGAGTGTCTCTGTAGCAAACACGCTGCCCTGCAGTTGGATTCCAAACCCTGTGACAGGATCTGCTGTCAGCACAACCTCTGTGGTTTCCGTGTGAACAACCTGTCCAGCCAATCCCACTGTGCTAGAGGCTAATGACACTAGAGGAGAAGACATGAAAAAAGTGCCTTTAGGTTCAAGCGGATATCAGGAATACCAGCATTTCCAAAACAGAGCGGGTCTTCAAATAAAAACTCATTGGTAATGGAGGGAATTTAAAACACTGATTTTTCAGCAAATAGTTTGGTCTCACTTCAACAAGGTAAATGAATCTCCTAATTTGTCACATTTGATTCATGACACCAGCGTAGCCACTCCATGTCCCAATCCCAGGAACTGTAGGAACAGGACAGCCTTGAGATTAGGATATGGGGTCTATCCTAGGCTGTATAAATGAATACTAGCTGAGGAGGACTGTGGGGCAAGCCATTCCACCTCTTGTGTCTGTGTCCTGCCTCCAGAGGGTGAGCTGGGATGGAGGGTCTAATTTTTTTT